CTTAGTGAATATCTTGAAGGTCCAAGTAAGTTTGTTTTAACTGAATTTCTAACGTTGCATGATGGTTTGCAGCGATGTCTTGATCTACGAAGAGAAAAAAACACTTGTTCATGAAAAAAAATCCACGTAATTTATCAACGCGAGAAATTTTTTCTAATGTTGGCCATGAAATTGCAAAACGACGGTATATTTGTAACACAGAGTTTAAAGATCCTATAATTCGCGGTACTAAAGCTATAGAACCAAGACTCAGTAGAGGTTGGTCTGCATTCTCTAAGATAGCTCGACACAAAATCCAAACGACTAAAAGAGGTGGTACTCCAAGAAGACACAAAACTTAAAAGGCTTAAAGATGGTACCACAAGAAATATATTAAAATTGGATTGGAGCAAGAGCACACTTTTTTTTTAAAATATAAATACATAGTTTAAAATAATTCTCAAAAATACTATCAAACTTAAAAATTTTTCCCTCGACTACTCCAAAAAATTAAAAATAACTGAAATATTCTGAAGTAATTACTCAAAACTTACTAGTCTTTTCCCGAGCAGCACAACTTAGTAGGCCCAACGTCAGCCCAACATATTTCTTATTGTTGGCACAACGAAGCGTTTTGGTAGGCCGTAAGTTGGCATCGTGCTGGCATATGGTTGGCTGCCCATCGTGCCTACATTGGCGTAACATACACTTAATATTGTTGGCGCAAAGTTGGTCCACTTATAATTTTAAAATGTTGGCGCAACGTTGGCCGAACCAAATAAAACAGTTGGCGACACGTTGGCATAACGCATTTCGTTTAATGTTGACTTTACATTGGCGCACTGTTGGTATGGGTTTGTAGGGGCTATGTTGGCGTAACAATGTTTAAAGGTTGAAAAAGCGTTGGCATATGATCGCGTATACTCAATTTTGTTGGCATTGCGTTGGCACACTGTTAGTTTTATATTGTACTTGCATTTGTGCATTTTATTAACGTTGGCCTAAGACTTCAAGCATTCCAACAATGTTAGCAACGCGTTGTGTGACGACTGGGATGATTTGATACTCATTGAACTAAATTTATTATGAAAGTTGAAAATGTAAAAGTATTTAAAGTTACATAAAAGTATTAAAGTTAATAAATTTGTTGGTTTCTAGTTAAATGTTTATTTGTTACAAAATAATTTAAACTATTGCACGCATACAAAAAAATCATAAACTATAGATAAAACTATATAACTAAAATCGTTAAAATTATGTTTCTTCTCCTCCCTCCACACGAATTTCGCGAATCGAAGCCATGCTTTAATGGCACAATCAACCTTGCATCCATACCGCGACATGTTGTAGGATTACGCCAAACAGCATCTAAATAAAATAAACATGTATTATGCATACACACAAGTATTAACTATAAACTCATTTACTTTCATTTATATAAAACGATGAAAATTATAAGTAAATATTTTTTAAAAAAATAATAATAAAAAAAACATCAATAGTAAGATGAAATAATAACATTTAAAAAAAATAAAATAATAACGCACTATTTATAATTTGACACAGCTTGCTATTGCCAAAGGCATATTTCCCCTCCCAATTACTAACTACTGCTATGCTGTTTGATATTACCCGCTTAATGACATTTTTAGTTGATTCAGTGATTCTACTATCTTGATATAATAAAATATCATTAAAGTCATTGTTCAAAAGCACATATTTTTGTTTACAATATGTCTACTAAAGCTTGCAGTTCTAATAATTTTTTTTCTTGATTTGAAAGTTGTATATAAATAACCTTAAATATATTTGTGCATTGGGAATTTTTTTGATTGATGTTTATTATAGTAAATAAATACTTATGTTGTTTTGATGAGTTTTTATTGCATTTTTATATTATATTTTTGTAAAAATTGTTGTGGGACTTATATGTCCCGTCAGGTGTTATTGACTCAAAGTTTACAAAAAAATATTAATTTTATTCTTTAGTTTTTTTATGATTATATGGTATTTACTTGATTTTTTTATTAGTTTAATAAAAATGTCAAATAAAAAGTTATTTACATCAGAAGAAGCTGCTCGCTACATTATAGAGGAAATCCCTCGTGATTTTAGTGAGGACATTGAGTCAAGTGATTCTGAAAATGAATTTATATCAGATGCTCTTAAATTACTGGAACTTATTGAAAATGAATCAGAAAGTTCCAACGATTTAGAAAGTAGCATGAAAGACATCAGCATTGATCATGAGGATTATAATGTTGAACAAGATCGTAAATGGACTAAAAAGACTAAAAACCAAATTGAAACTCCATTTTCATCTTACGAAGGCCTGGTCAAGGACCATTTTGCTGATTGTCAAAATCCTATTAATTACTTTTTTTCTTATTTTGACAATGAAATACAACAGAACACACTTTATCAAACCTATCTATATATAACACAAAGCATGAAGGCTGTTCTAAATGTTTAATTGCAAGAGTTTTTTTCCTTCTTAGGAATCAATATTATAATGGGTTATCATGAATTACCATCATGGACGGATTATTGGAGTTGTGAGCCTGATTTGACAGTACCATTTGCATCAAGGGCTCTTCCAAGAAATCGTTTCGCTCAAATTCTAAGCAATATTCATTTGAATGATATTGCTGCTGAACCAAACGATAATAAAGACAAATTAATTAAAGAATAACAAGGTAGTGTTTCATCTATGCAAGAGTTTCGCTTAGAAGTTTAAAATGTTTAACTGCCAAGCTCAGCTTCAAAAACTTTCTTAAGTCAATCGATCAAGCAATTATTACTATTAGATTTGACGCTTAAAATATGGATGTTACAGCAGAAATGAATAATAATTCTAATGTTGATATAGTCAGTGATAACGATAAAATCAATGATAGCGAAAAAGGCTCAACATTAGAAAAACAAGAAAATTATCTTAAAGGAAATTACCTTTATATTAGTAATGCTGCCATTGCCTCTGTCAGATTTGGTGTGTAATTGACTGCTACTGCTGCTATCATTAATGGTCTTCTGAAAGATATCATGAAAGCAGGAAAAGTTGTTTAATAAAAAAATAATCTAATTTGTGTTAGCATGAAATTTTTTCATGCAAAAGAGAGTGACATGAAGTGTTCTAGAATAGAAGAAAATATAGACTGTGAAAGAAATATAATCACTGGAATTTTTGTTGATGGTAAATAAGATAAAACTTTCATCCTTATGCACGATAAGACCACAGGTACCTTCAGAAAAAAATTATTCAAGAATACCGTATAACTGTGACAGAGGAACCTAGAGGTCGCTATCTTACTCATTATACACCAGAGCCTAAATCTGAATTATGTTAATCAGCCAAACAATGTGCTATTAGATTATTCAACTGGTTAATGGAAAGAGGTAAAGATCTTAAGCTCCAACTAATTAGTAGTGATACTACAAATGAAATGTCTGGGTAGAAAGGTGAAATGCCTTGTTTTGTGGAGGAACTTATCAATCGAAAACTTTTAATATCATTATGTTGGCTTCACATTAATGAGCTTCCATTTCGTCATATTGTGAAAAAACTTGAATGGCTAACTTCTATAGGAAAAGGATGGTGTGGGATAGTTGGTAAACATTTATAATCTTGTACGAAATACTAAATTTACGCCGATTCCTCATAAAATACACAAAACTTCATTTAAAATGTGAAAATACTATAATTGTAAAAATAATTTTAAAAAAATAATTAAAAAAAAATCTATAAACTTTAACAAGCATGAAAATGAAGGAACCAATTTACAAATACAGAAATATTATGCAAATAATATTAAATTGATAATAAAGAAACTTCCGTTCTCTTTGCTAAACTTTAGAAAACTTTTGAATACATGATATGTTTTTAAAAAAAGGCTTTTTTATTTATGCTTATATAAACAAGGGGTGGCTAGAACCCCTACCTATTTTTTATACATGCCTGAAGAGTGTTCCAGGGGGTCAATGATAATTTGTTCTGTTATTTTACTTGTGGTTAATTTTTACCTTGTAAAATTTTACTTTGTTTAAATATTTGTCTAAAACATTTTAAAAATTAAACCTTAATTTAAAAAGAATAAATTTTAATAAAACCGTAATTTTAAAACCCGTTTTCCGGTAGTATAACATTTTACAAAAATAGTATTAAAATCGAATTCTTCATACCTAAATACATAGGAATCCAAGCGTGCTAGTCAAAATTTTGAAAATTTAAATTTTGACTAAAGTATAATATACCTTAATAGTTAAATAATCTTATTAATTTTTTTATTCTTCGATAACATTTATTGTTGATAAAATTCATTCTTTGATAACATTTATTTTTGATAAAATTTATTCATTGATAACATTTACTTTTGATAATACTAGGAAATATTGTTATATTTTTGTATATCGTATTTGTTTGTTTTCAGTTTTGTACATTAAAAAAAAATGGAAAATTGTCAAAAAACTTTTTGCATACACAAGGGTATTAAAAATCTCTGAAGGTTTAATTTTTTTTTTTTTTTTTAATAAATTTATGATATTAAATTTATTAGTGCATTCATTTATGATATTAAATTTATTAGTGCATTCATTTAAGATAACAGCAGTAACAACAGGTGATTCATCTTTGTGTGTTAAGTCGAATGAAACTTCATTAAAAGATAATGAGACGTTAACGCCAGACGATTTACTTAGTTTTGCTTGGCAAGTGGCATTTGGAATGGTATTGTTTAAATGCTTTTGTTATACTCTTAATAATAATTTGTTGCATCATGGTTTTTGGGTATTTTTAGGAATTTCTTTCATGTTCCAAATTGGTTCATCGAGATCTGGCTGCAAGAAGTATTTTAGTCGGGTCGGGAAAAATTGTAAAAATATCTGATTTTGGTCTTACTTGTAAAACAAATGACAAATTAACCTACATGAGCAAGAAAAAGCGTCGGTTACCGGTCAAGTGGATGTCTGTTGAAGCCATATTCGACCAGATGTTTACATCATTTAGCGATGTATAACTTTATTCAATATATCTTTTTCATGTTTTTCATGAATTTTATTTAATCCTGCAAGCTATTACAATTAAAACTTTATGATTATTGGGCAAAATTTTATTATTTTTCTATTAATTCCTTTTTAATAAGTGTTTTCTATGTTTTAGGTGGTCGTACGGCGTTGTTTTATTTGAAATTGTAACTTTGGGTAAAAATAATAATGCTTATTTTAAAACTCAATACAGCAAATTTTTTTAATTTTTGCAACTTTTTTGTAGGAGCTACACCTTATCCTGCTATAAGTAACCGTGAACTTTTCTATCTTTTGAAAGCTGGTTATCGAATGGATAAACCTGAAAACTGTTCTGAAACAATGTAATTTTTTATTATCCTATCTCTTAATTTACTATGCATCGCTGTTTAATTTTAAATAATTATTTAATACAATTTTAGGTATGATGTTATGTTACAATGTTGGCATGAGAATCCATTACAACGCCCTACCTTTGCAACACTACGTGAGTATTTTGATAAAGTAATATCTGAAGTTGGCTGTTATCTTAACTTTGAACTCAACGAAAATACTACACCGTCGTTTTTACCCTATGAAATAGACAACCATGACGATAATACAATAGAAGACAGGGTTTTACAAAATCCCGTGCGAGTAAAGTCAATTGAGGAAATAAAAAAAAATAGATGATTCCATTCTTCCATTGTACGATATATATACAAGTGTTAAATAAAAACCAACAACCAACAATTTAATGATCAAAATATAAATTTTTATATTAGCCTTAGAACTTTCAAACATACAGTCTTTGCTAAAGTACAAAGATTATGTGCCGCTTTTAAAATACGTGACCTTGTATGGCGTGGCGTTGTATGCTGCGTTTTATCAAAAAAAACATAAATTTAAATTCAAAAATTATCTGAACTGGATTTAAAAATATACTTTATAATGTTTTTTGTTTGTTATAACTGTTTAACATAATGTATAAATCTATATCAATATGTATTTTCTCATTGTTTTGATCATTATTATAAATGTAAAAAATGTTTTTTTTAGAAGAAGAAAATGTTCCTTAAAAAAAAATGTATTTTTATTATTTTTTATTTCATGATATAGAAAGCAAAATGAAAATTAAAAATTGAAACTAAAATATTTGTAGTCACTCGGCACCATGAGCTTAAACTGTGTTAAATTATCTTAAATGTAAAACTTGCCAAAATTAATACATAAATATTGATTTGAAGGAATTAAAAATTTAATTACAAAAAGTAACAAGCGAGAAGAAAAATGATGCCAATTTTTATTTACATAAGTTAAAAATGTTTAAATGTGTTTTCCATATTGTCTTTAAGTTAAAGAAATTATACTATATTCATGTACTCAGTAATAATTTTTTAAATAAAGTAGAAGCATTTATTGAAAATAGCGTGATAAGCAAAAATTAACTCTTAATTCAGGGGTCAAACATAAAAATGCTCTATGTTACATTTTTTTTTTTTTTTTTAATTTAATTTAACTCCTCAAGGCCGAGAAGGCCACTACACCATTTCGTCATTTCGTCGATTTCGTTTTTAAATTCTTTAAACATTTTTTGTATTGTTTTTTTTACCTGATCAATTATGATAGCCATGGTTACTCAATTTATTTTTATTTCAAAATATAAATTTACGTATTTGTTTGTTTAAATAATTCGAAACAATCAAAAAACAATTATTTTTTTTTAGAAAAAAATTGCAACAAAAAAATTTTCAAAACAACCACGCTGTAAAAAACACGTCCGTTCGTGAAATATGTTTAGAAGCGTGATATATAACCAAAGGATACCTCTTGCAATAATCAAGTTAATCGTAAGTATGAACATTTTTATTTATTTAATCTTATTTTCAGAATTGCAATGTGTTTATGAAAATGAAAAAGTTAGAGGACAGCCAAGCCCAGATCAAAAATACATTAGCATCTATGTTTGATAGTGGTGAACGCGATAAAAATGTTGGTGTGGAGGACATTCAGACTATGTCATTAATAGAAGAGCTTCGTATAGAAAAATTAAAATTCAAAACAAAGCATATTGTAATAGAAAGGTAACTAAAATTTTTTTATTATTATATGCGACAAATGCTTTGTTTTTTAATAACATTGAAATTATATACCATTTTATTTAAACTACATTTTCTATGTTAGTAATTTTATGTTGTTTACATTACTAATTAAAGAGGTCTAAGAGTTGGCTGTTTAGTTGTAAGGGTCTTAATGCATAGAAGGAGAAACTTAAATACCATATATTGTCTTTTTATTTATTTATTTTTTTTATTTATTATTCTTTAAGAATCGTTTTTCAGAGGGTATTTACTACTGTATTTACCGTATATTTTCATCATTATGTTACAAACGATTTTAATTTTAAAATATAGAACTCAGAGGAAAACTTGTTTTTAAACAAATTAAAAAGTCTTTTATGAAAAAAAAAAATTTAATTTACAAACCAATATTAGAAATTGAAAAAAATGTATAAAAGGGAATAACACCTTACATAGCTGCAAATTTACTTGATAATAGTTTAGATATTTTAGTTAATATTTTTTACATAGTATTTAATAACATGCGCCATAGCTTATTAGATAATGTTGCCCCCATCTGAATATTTTTACCATTAAACTTAGTTTTAGAGCTATACTTTAGTTAAAGGATAACCTTAAGTCACTGTTATAGAATACCAAACAAAAATATATTAGTGGAGTAAATAAGATCCATCATTTAGCATCATAGGCAGGAAACAAAATGACACAGGTTTACATCTACGACAACCTCATAGATAAAGAAGATGTTAAAGGCTGGTTGCTTACTTTAAAATTTTTTTTATAGACGGTTGTCTACCAGACAGTAATTGAATGGAGATCACCTCTGCCTAAAATGGTATTTTTATTTCTATCATCTTTTCCCCAGCCTTTAATCTTTATCATCTAAAGCCTTTAATCAAACTAGAGCTTAAAGGCATGAGAATTTTAAGTCATAGTTTATTTCTACTAGTCTTCGCCTTAAAGTAACAAAGGCCCTAAAAAGTTGCAGGGCTTGGGGTAGGTAATACTATGTTACATGATGCTCTTAACCAGGTGATTGTGATAATTCTAAATCTTACCTGATCTATTGTAGTTAAAAAAAGTTATTTCTTGTATGTAATACTATAAAAAATTATTGAGAATATTTTGGAAACGCATTAGAAAAAATATTGCTTTTAAAAAAAATACATGATAATAAGATGAAGTTTAGTATTTGGAGTTAAAAATTGGTTACTGAGATTGACAACAAAAACAAATAAAGTAACTTACGGGTGAGTAAACACCGCGCATGAGGTTCAGACAAAACGCAAATATATATAAAGTATCTTATTGAATTAACTTCGCGCCAGAGGTTTTTACAGAAAGCAAACATAAATATTTGTTTTTTCCAAAGCTGCTACGTAGCTATAGCTTAAGCCAAAAAAAATTTTTCGGTCAGAGTTTGTATGTCGAAGCCAATTTTCAACCCCGGCTTTAAAGCTCTGATAGACTTACTTGCATGTTAGACTGGTAAATGCTTTTAGTGCTTTATCTGCTATCTTTAACTGCTATGCAAAATGAATGAAATATTCAGCGCATGTTACAGCCAAATCACTCTTTTTTCTAAAGTTAGAGCACGTGAATCAAGTTTCTTTTTTTTAAAATTAATGCATTGTAACTTTAAGGTAATTATAGTTAGCCAGCAATATTCAGTATCTTTTAGTTAGAGCAACAGTTTGTGCACATTGCAATATTGTTACCGAGAGCGCATTTTTGTGGATGCCCATCGGTGTAGTCATTTGTTGCAATCCTAATAACGTTCTTCAGACCAAGATCTTCAAAACTGCTAATCGGCAGTTTAAAGCTACTCATTTATGCGTAGGATCCTTGGTTCAAACCCCACGTCTGGGCAAGTTTTGCAACATCGGTAGTAGTAAGAGATTGCCGGTTCTGGGCCATTTTCATTTTTAACCATATTTTCAACCATATATTTTAAAAAATATAGGGTTCATTTCTAAACATGATGTGAATAATTAATTATATAAGAAATAATTTTTCAAATTTATATAAATTTGAAAAAATTGAATTTTTTTAAAATAAGTGTTAATTTTTTATTTCTTGTCGAAAAATGACGTCACAGGTCACGTGATTTTCTTGCTGTGACGTCACAGGTCATGTGATTTGATTGATCAGTTCATAAAGAGATCTAATATATATATTGAAGTTTGCTTCCATCAGCATTAAGTTGTCCTATTCGATCAGACAATATAACTGCATATATCATAGTATTTGGTGGAACAGCTGTATTAAATGTTGCGTTAAATTGCACATCTATTATTGATGGTTTTGTAACTTCCATTTGTTTACTTACATCAAAAACAAAAAGTGGATATAAATTTTTATAGTCTTGTGGATTTATGTTGCATTGTGAAATAAATTCATTCAATCCATATAACTTTTCAGTAAATAGAGTTGCATCTCTATAAGCTCTTGAGAATTTTTGATCTGGAAATGATAGATTATAATTAACAAATTCAGGATAACTTCGTGAATTAAGTTTTATGTACATATTTTTCAAGTCACAATGATCAAATATTGCAGGATTTTGTTCTTGATTGTTATTTTTATTTGTTTGGAATCCGATAATAATAAATCTAGGTTTTGTACTAGTTGTTGTTATATTCAGCGTCCAATTAAAATCAGTAACTGGATCAACATTTGTTGATTCACATTGCCTTCCAATATAAGATAATGGAAGTGTTTTTTTTGATTTAATTATGTCTTTAAGTATTTTTTCATATTCAAGAGATGGCGTAACATGTGGCATAAAAAGTGATACTTTAGTAAGATTGACTTGCCCAACAGCTACACCTGTGCCTTTAAAAATTGCATTATTATCACTTTCTCTAATTAGAGTAAGTGTATGTTTTAATCCAAAAATAACTTTATCATAAGTATCACAGAATCCAAAAATATGTTTTAGAGGTACGCAAAAGGAAAATTTTCCTTTTGCGTTTGGCTCTTGAATTAAATAAGATTGTCTTGCTTGAAATCCTAGATTTGTTGCAATCGCTGCAGTCGTTGATGAATCTCTAAACCATAATTGGTTCATGCCTTGGACATTTTGAAAGTAATTAGGATATTTGAGCAATCCTAACATTGTAGTTGCTCTACCTAAATAATTAATATTTTCTATACTTTGACCAGATAATTGATATTCTGCTCTAGTAAATAAGTACATAAGACCATTGTTTATAAGTGTTACGGCATCTGCATTAGCATAAGATGTTCCATCTGCTTTTAGTAGTCTTCCTTCAATCAAAATATAAGCTTCAGATGGAAGTGTAAACAAGCTTTCCTCATTAATAGTTATACTTATTTCAGTACCAGGGTTATCAAAATTTGCAATTTTAGGAGAATATTCATGGTATTCAAATTTTTCAATACTCTCATCAATTATTGGATTTTCTGTAATATTTAATGTGTCAGAATTTGCCATTTTTTATTATCAAGATAATTTTTTTAAATCATTTTCAAGAGTCTAAAATAAATTTTAATAATTGATTCAAAATGTGGAGTTAGAATAGATGAAGGGTATGCATTAGTTGCACTATCAGAAGAATATAAGCCATATTTATACTTGTTTAATTCTGTAATAGCATGCTCTACTGATAATATTGTTGTAACTTTATATAATAATGATGAAAAAGAAGATAAAAAAATTAAAAAAGGAAGTTGTTTATTCTACATCTTATCTTATAACGGAATTATAAATAGAATTAATTATATATCTAATTCTTATGGATCCAAAGGATCTAACGAAGCTAAAAATGTAAAACCAAAAGAAAAGCCACAAAGTGATAAAGACTCTGTTAAATCTATATTATCAAGTATAGATAAAGACAGTGATAGATCACAAAGTAATCAAAACTCTGCTAAATCTATATTTAATTTTGGTAAATAAAGGTATAGGAGATTTAATTATCATA